ACGAGCTCTTGACAATAGGAATTGGAGCTATTTTTCCTTATGAATCAAACTTGTATCCCAGGCACTGTACAGCCCTCACACCATTACCTCTTTACTATGAACATGATAATAAGAATTAATTATGTGATTTTTACATACAAAGTAATGATATAAATCCATTATATAAATTTAGTAATTTCTTGCTTTATTAGTGTATTTATAAAGTAGTATTAGCAATTTTATTAAACATTTTATTTTTTGTATTTAAAAAATGACAGGACTGTGTAAAATGTTTTTTAATGTGAGATTTATGTTTTGTATATAATGTGTGTACAGTATTTTGTATGTGGTAGTTTGGTACAGATTTAAAACTTGCAGGTGTCGAGTCCCCAACCTTCTTGGCGCTTGCTTAGATAATGTGCGCTGCTGCTGCCTTCCACCGTCCTCGGTGCAGAGCAGCTCAGGCAGGACAGTGTGTGTATACGTGTGTGGGTGTATATATATTTTTGCTTTTGGGACTTGATCTACAGTAATGCTTGTTGTGTGATGCTTTCAGCCTAACCTGGCCTTGGTGCTGAAGATCTCTTGATCCTAGGAATTATTATTGCTTTTCCCTTCCATGGATCATACCCGGTTACCTCCTGTACTGCAGACAGTGTGTGCCCCCCCTGCAGGTTTAGTGAGTCCCTCATAATAATTGTTTGAAGCTAGATTCTGAGGAAAGTGTCCAAAATAATTATGTTGTAGATGTGCTCATATGATCATTTAACTCTAGAACTGTCGCCCCTCTCTGTCATAACCATCTGTTTTTTTGTCTCGTGTTTTTTTGTAACCATTTATATACATGGTACACAGTTTTTTTTTTTTTTTTGTAAAACACAGGCAGTTAGTGCAATTGCAATGAGATGATTTTCTGTCCACCATAGACTTCATCAATTCATACGATCATTTAACCCCTGGTTTATTAACACCAGGTAATAAACTTTGGAAATCTACATAGGATTTTACAAATAGTTGTGTAAATGGCTAACCCTCAAAAAAAAAAAATCCTAACTTAAAGAAGTGCTAAACCAGTTAGAAGCATAAAACATTTAAACTTGGACATTAAGTAAATGAATAAAGTTGAAGTCCCTGGTGGACAAAACTTGTCAGTAAAATTCAACACATCCCATATTGTGTGTCTGTGTATTCTACTAGTTTGTAGATGAATGGTTCAGAGAACCGACATGTTGATAAATTAGACACATGTGCAACTCTTGGGTATCTTTATTGAGGAAACGTTTCGCCACACAGTGGCTTCATCAGTCCATACGTAGGAGAATCTTGAAGAACAGGAGGAGAATGAGGTAATCAGTCCCTCAACCTTGAGTCGATGTGGTCAGTCCATCAATCTATTCAATCTATTCAAGATTGATGGACTGACCACATCGACTCAAGGTTGAGGGACTGATTACCTCATTCTCCTCCTGTTCTTCAAGATTCTCCTTTGTATGGACTGATGAAGCCACTGTGTGGCGAAACGTTTCCTCAATAAAGATACCCAAGAGTTGCACATGTGTCTAATTTATCAACGTATTCTACTAGTGTTGAGCAGTTCCCCAGTGGGTCATACAGCAACACGATGCTGTGCAGGTGCGCAGTTCAAGGGTTTAGGTAACCTTATGAGAATTTATTTCTGCAACAAATTCAAATAATTCTGTTAGGTAAGACACATATGCAACAGTTAGGTATCTTTATTATGAAACGTTTCGCCTACACAGTAGGCTTCTTCAGTCAAGTACAGAAAAGTTGATAGAAGCAGAAGATACTTGAAGACGATGTAATCAGTCCATCACCCTTAAAGTTTTGAGGTGGTCAGTCCCTCAGTCTGGAGAAGAGCATTGTTCCATAGTATGAAACAATATGGAGAAGAAGTGCAGGATGGAGCTATTATAGCGCCAAGAGTGAACGTTAGGCATAAGACAGTTAAACTTGGCATTTGTATGAATAAGGTTGAGGTCCCTGTGACAAACTTGTCAGTAAAATCAACACTCCACTATGTGTGTTGTATTCATAGTTTGAATGAATGGTTCAGAGAACCGCTTGTGTTGCAGTGAATTGACACATTGCAACATTGGGTAACTGTATTAGGAAACTTTCGCCACAGTGGCTTCATCAGTCCTACAAAGGAATCTTGAGAACAGAAGATAGGTATCAGTCTCAACTTGAGTCCGATGTGGTCAGTCCATCAATCTAATGTCAATTCTTTCAAGATGATGGACTGACCACATCAACTTAAGGTGAGGACTGATTACCATTCTCCTCATGTTCTTCAGTTCTCCTTTGTATGGACTGATGAAGCCACTGTGTGGCGAAACGTTTCCAATAAAGATACAAGATTGACACTGATTCTATTTATCAACGTATTATAGTGTTGACATTCCTGGGATACAACACTGATGCTGTCAGTGGCAGTTCAAGTTAGTAACCTATGAGAATTTATTTCTGCAAAATTCAAATAATTCTGGTTTTCATTTCATTTAAAAAAAATTGTATTGGGTGATAATCATCTGTAATATTTATTTTAAGTCTATGGAATACAGAGCTTGGGCACAAAGATTCCCGATTCAAAATTAACAACTCTAGTCTCTTTTTAAAGGAGGTAATTGCTTGAATGTGTGCTAAAAAGCTTGTGTTAAATACTTGTGATGCTATGATCAAAGGTACCCATTACACTGCTTTGATCACAGGTAAACAATAGTGCTTTGATCAAAAGTGCTCACTACACTGTTTTGATCAACTGTGCTCATTACACTGATCAAAAGTACTCATTACACTGATCAAAGATACCCATTGCTTTGATCAAAAGTACTCATTACACTTGCTTTGATCAAAAGTACTCATTACACTTGCTTTGATCAAAAGTATTCATTACATTGCTTTGATCAAAAGTACTCATTACACTTGCTTTGATCAAAAGTACTCATTACATTGCTTTGATCAAAAGTACTCATTATGCTGATCAAAAGTACCCATTACACTGCTTTGATCAGAAGTACCCATTATGCTGCTTTGATCAAAGGTAAACAATAGCACTTTGATCAGAAGTACTCACTACACTGCTTTGATCAAAGATGATAGTGTTTTCCCTGGCCTTAATGGTTCACAATGTCCTGTTTTTACCTTCAGTTCAGTATGTCCAATATATACTTGCCATGTGGCATCTGTGCAGTGTGCATAGTGTTGAATTATATATTAATGGCTAGTATTAAGTTGTATAATGCTACTTATGTATTTAACATTTTGAAATTTTGCTGTATTGTGAAATAACAGCATTAATGCAGAGGGTGTGGAACTACTTGCTCATTCTTGGAGTCGAATGTGATTGCCTCGGATTCCATAGGTGCTGTGTGGCTCCTGCAGGCTTAGGGCTTTCCCGAGTGAGCGTGTATGTGTGTTTGTGTGTAATTTATTTCTTATATTTACTGTGCGTGTCATAAGAGGCGACTACAATGTTGGGAACCAGGGGATAGTAACCTCTTATCTTGTATAAATTACTAAATTTAAAAAGAAAAACTCTTGTTTTTCTTTTTAGGTCACCCTGCCTCGGTGGGATATGGCCAGTTCATTAAAAACAAATTACCATATATGCTGGCATTCAGGTCAACTGGCATACAAGTCATCTCAGAGTATAAGTCAGCTCCTTAAATTTTGAGGTGCTAATTCAGGTTTTGGCTTGTATTTGCCCAATAGGTCGACCTTTCCCGTTTTTGACTCTGCTAGTTTAAAATATCACAAGTTACACAGCTTATTCTTTTACTCTATATTTTCTTTGTTACAGTAAACAAAGTCTCAAATTGAGTTGGAATTTTTGTTACGTGCCATGTAGATGTGGCTTGCATCCAACCACAGTAGCAAAACTGTTTAAAACAAATAAGGACTATCCATAGAAGCCTAATAGCCTGTCAAATCCAATGTCTTGGATAGCTGTTGTCCCGTTAAGGTTTACGTTTGTGACAGGATGGACTTCATGCCCCTTGTATTGTAAGTACTGTTTTTAATAAAACGTGAGATTCTTTTTATTAGAAACGTGTATCTGAGAAAGAAAAACAAAATAGCTAAGAAGTAGCAAATAAAACTTCTAACTGTGGCACAAGTTAGAGTACTAGCATGACAGCATCAGTAAGCTAGTGGTTGTAGATGAATGGTTCAAAGAACCGACACGTTGTTAAATTAGATACATGTGCAACTCTTGGGTATCTTTATTGAGGAAGCGTTTTGCCACACAGTGGCTTCAGTCCATACAAAGGATAAACAAGTTTATCCTTTGTCCTCATTCTCCTCCTGTTCTTCAAGATTCTCCTTTGTATGGACTGATGAAGCCACTGTGTGGCGAAACGTTTCCTCAATAAAGATACCCAAGAGTTGCACGTGTGTCTAATTTAACAAGCTAGTGGTGTCATTTCCCTCTCTTGGTAATGTGCCGTGGCCTAATCTTCACCTCTGCCTTGTATCAGCCACTTTTATATTTGGGATATTAGCTGAGCCTTTGGAGAGATCTTTTTATGCTTAAAATGTCATGTTATGTGCCAGCATATATGGTATATATTTATTTTATTTTTTTTATCATGTATATATATACATATACTATATATATATATATATATATGGCCATTTAATGTTAAAAGTATTGTACAGTATCATTCTGACTGAATTATTGTTTAGGTAACTTAAATTTTTTCAAGCTTTTGTTGCTTCTCATTGATGTATAAATAGTCATTTTAGTGTGCATTGGTAATTGGCATCAGAAATATTGATATTGTGTATTGTAATATATCTTTGTAGCTCTTTTTTTTTTTTTTTTTTTTTTTCACTTTCAGTGGGAAAGATGGTGAAGGTGTTTTTCTTCTTTGGGTTATCCTGCTTTGGTGGGAAGTGGCTGTCTTAATAGATTTTGTTATTCTTTCTTTAGTTGTGGTTTATAAGGTTGAAAATTATTTATCGTCACTGCACACTAACATATTATCCATCTTGTGTTTCAGGTTCCTCAAACGTAGCAGTACCGACCTCACCTAACCTAGCTCGTAACCTCTCCAACGCCCCAAGTACACAAGTTGTTTGTTCATCTCCATCCCCAATTTCCTCTTCGTGTTTGTCTTCTCCCTCTTCTACTGAACCATCATCACCACTACTGCCTCCTCTTTCTCCTCCTATTCAACCCACAAAAACAAATACAGACAGTGGAGGAATTGCATCACTTATCAGTGTCTCCTTTAGCCTCAACTTCACTTGCTTTCAGCTTTGTAACGAGCTCCTCGCCCTGTGTAGCAGCAGTAACTGCTTCATCCTCACACTTTTCCTCATCCTCCAACTCTCCCTCACTCATGCCGCCGCCATTGCCATCATCGTCACCACCTCCATTATTGCCCTTGTACTCTACAGTTTTAACGCCTAAGCTGGAATCTACTCCTTTAACCAGTATGGCTCCAGATTTAACTCCTTTGAAATCCTCCTTAGCTTCGGTCAATTATCATTATTGCACTCCGTCATCTGCTTCCCCGTCTGGTCCACCACCACCTTTACCTCTCAGTGAACCCCCCATTCTGCTTACCCCAATGGATGGTGAGGAACTGGAGCCTCCTCACTCTCCTCTGGATGTGTCCACACCTCTCACTGTGGATGGGATGACTGCCTTACATCTTGCAGCCCAGGGGAACAACTGGCAGTAAGTTTTTACATTTTGTTCACATATTCTGCTAGAACAGGTGCTCCTTGACTTGCGATGGGGTTACGCTCTAACGAACCCATCATCGGTTGAATATGATATGGTAAACAGATAAGTAAACAAATAACTACTCTCCCTGAATAAGTAAATAAATAATTACTGTAACTAAATACCAGCATTGAAAAGTAAATAAATGAATAAAAGTTACGAGCTTACCATCTTCATGCTGGGTAATTATCTTTAGCTTCATCTCCAAAGTAATTGCTTTTGTACCATCATAAAGTCGAAATATCATAAATCAAGCCATTGTAAGTTGAGGAGCACCTGTACTGTATAGACTTGCAGGCTTTAGTCTAGTATTGTTGCCATGGTTTTGATGCCATCTTTACATGGGTGTGGTTTTTAGCAACACAATAGATCTACAGTGTAATTTGTTAATGCTTTTATTTTTGACTGCATTTTACTGGTACTGTATATTTCTAGCTAACTAAATTAGGTTAGCAGAACAGATAAATATATTATATTTAATCTGTTTTGATTCCAGCACTAATGGATTGATATGATTTTTTAGTGTCAAGTATTAAATTGTAAAAGAAATAATTCCCATCTTTAATTGCTTGAGGATTAGCATCTTTTCCTATTACAAGTAAATTGTAATTGTTCCTGCCAGCATCATTTGCTCATGTGAGACCTGCCAACTTGTCTACTTGTTTTCATGCAGTAACCTCTCATTTATCCATAAGTACATCACATGGTGACAGTGTCCTTATTATACTCTACCAGTCTCTTCTACTCTTTATTGTTTAACATCTTTGGTTCCCAGCAAGTTAGAGTAGTGCAAAAGAGGGGACAGATTCACCATCTCTCACTCTCTGGCTGTTTCCAGAATTACACAAGCATCACTAATTCAGATAATGCTCCAAGGTGCAACATCCCCCACCTGTTATTCAGAGTGCAGGCACTTGCCCAATTTCTGCATTGTGTGTTTGATGAAGACCAATTCCTGAATCTCAGTATCTTTGTCAAATTGAGATTGGCTGTGTGCTTGAGCAGCTTTGCTGATAAGCAGTTACTCACCACAAACCTTTATCCAGTGAATGCAATTCCCATGTTTAAAATTTGGCAACCAGTCATTGGAGTACAGGTCGGCCATCGCTGCTCCGGCAATCACTAATCCGGATTTACAGGGTATTTTAAAGGTAGGATGAGGTGGTTAGCTGTTAGGTTAAATGTATTCTAACCTAACCACCCTGTGATCCAGCAAAAATCACTAACTTGGCACCCTACAGATCCCAAGATGCTGGATTAGTGATGGTCGACCTGTTCTCGGACGCTGCACTGATTTTCCAGTCAGCATTAAACCAACAGGAAAATCTTGGCTCTACAGAGGGAGCTGCGATTCCTGGAATATTGAAGAAACTGTTGAAATTGTATAATGTATTAGGGTTTTATATTCTTGAGGTTACACCATAGAGTGCAGTACCTTGAGTAAGCAAGGTGGTTTCCATTGTCAATTGTACAATACTTTTGTAGTATACTGTATATGTGCCAGATGCCATGTATGTACCATCCCTTGTCCATCCATTTGTTGGGTTCATTGTGGGGGAAGAGTGAAGGTAGCAATAAACTCTAAGAGGTGAGACTGTTATTGTGTATTGGTGAACAAAGATGGAGCCCAGCCTTTCTGATACGTCCGCCTTGCATGCCTGCCTGACTAGACTGACTCAGTCTATGGCCAGCCGGGTGGTGTTCAAATGGGAGTCACGTAACTCGAGTGTGATGGAGTGATGGACAAGGGATGGTACATATAAGGTATTAGCACATATTATATACTACACAAGTATTGAACCACTGCCAACAAAGGAAAATCTTACCTATTGCTGTGATGGATACAAATTATATTGCTGACAGCAATGAGGGAAAAACACAGGTGCAGAGTGCACTTGTATTGTGACAATGATTTGCTTTGTCACTTAACATAATAAAGCTCTACATAGAGCAAGATGTTTTCACAATAAAGGTACCTGTGTATTTTCTTGCTCTGGTGATGTTTCTTTATCCACTTGTTGAAATGATGTACAATAAACCTGATATAATGGATATCTATACAGCAAACTTCGAGAATAAGAAACAAAATCTGCTGGATAAATTGATTCTGAAACAACAGAGAAAGTCTAGTGGTTAGGGAATTGTCCATTATTGTTACTGCTATGGCAAAACAAACTCTTCTGTATCATCCACAGTTGTCATTACTGTCTACCTGCTCCTCCCTATCAGTTCATTATATCGAGGGTTTACTGTATTTCAACTTTTAGTGAAACTGCTAGAGTTTGCCACTAACTCTTTTCCTCCTTTCTCTTGACTCCTTGTGCTTGCCTTCTCACCAGTGGCTCCAAACCCAGACCTGAAACCCAAGCCATGATAACAAGTGAGTGGCCTGCTTTGTCTGTCCTCTAGTAATCCTTGTTAGTGTAATGTTTCAGAGTGAATGGTCTAGTAATTTAACAGCATGTCTAATATTGAGAAATGAAGGTAAATGGCTAGATATATCTCAAGAGGGTAAAAAGAGAACTATGTATTAGTCTTTAATAGTACAATGTTTCACCATGAATAGGCGGTATCAAGTGCATGTGTCTGTCATTTAATGCTGTAGAAATGTTGCAGGCCCTTGGCATCTGTACTAGGCTCATTCAAAGTTAAAAGTCAAAGATTTATTTCAGGTCATTAACACTTAATGACACACAAAAATAATCTTCAGACCTTTTGGAAACCATACTGATCACATATAGCAACCATAAATCATATGCAGTACGTATATAGGACATTGTATAATAGCAAATTCACATAGAGAATCCTCGTAAAGCACAGGAGAACTGTACAGTAATTGATGACGCTCACTGCTGAGTGAAATTTGCTGTATAGTCCTTGTGGCTTAGCGCTTCTTTTTGATTATAATAATAATAATGCTGAGTGAAATATTGTACCATTCAGGTAAAAGTGGTAAAAAGGCATTCAGTTCCTTTTTACCACTTGTTGGCATTGTGTTTATTGAGTATGTCTGAAAATGTTGAATGAAAAAGTACGTACAGTAAATTGTACATGGATGAAAAGTGATTTTTTTTCTTTTTTAATGCAGCAGCCATCTCCCACCAAGGCAGAGTGACCTGAAAAAAGAAGAAACTTTTTCTTTTTACATGTAGTAATTTATACAGGAGATGGGGTTACTAACCCCTTGCTCCTGGCACTTTAGTTGCATTTTACAACATCCATGGCCTACAGAGGAAGGATTCTTCTCCACTTGCCCATGGAAATGAAAGGAAATAAATAAGAACAAGAACTATTAAGAAAATAGAAGAAAACTCAGATGGATCATTAATGGATTTTTTCTTCTAGAAAGAAAAGAGAAAGGCAGCTCAAGCTCCTTAGAACAAGAGCCCTTCACCAGCATCAAGGCACTCTCTTGAAGGGGGACTTCAGTCGAGCATATGAACTCAGGTTAAGTCGTAATAAATGACTCTATGAATAAACACGGCTCAAACCTCCTGTCCATCCCTCTGTTTATCCTTTCTCGTGTCTTGATGCTGGTAAGGGGCTCTTGATCCAGAGAATTGGATTTACCCTCCCAGTGAATCAAACTTGATTGCTTCCCTCTCCCCAGGTGCTGTATGACCATTGTAGGTTAAGTAATCTCCTGTGAATACAGTAGTAATCTATTCTCCAACATTTGAATTATATTTGAATGAGTGGAAGTTGGTTTGATTGTAAGTTGTAGGGGATGATGATAATGTAGTATGTACACAAATAACCCATTAACTAGTCACACTGTGACTAGTTAATAGTCCAAGTTAGATTGAAAACTGACTAATTAATGGTTCAAGTTAGATTGAAATGTTGTCATTAAGGTTCTCTCTCCTATGTGCAGGGTTATTTGTATATTGTTCTAGTCACGGTATTGTGCCTTTGTGTTCTTAACGTATTATGCCTAGTAGTAATAGCATGCGATGTGTCAGGTCGGTGCCGGTGCTTGTGAGATGCGGTGCCAGCGTTAATGCTGAGGATGACGACGGTCGCACACCCACATACCTAGCGCTGCTGTACGCCTGCAACCCGGCTGCTGCTGCCCTCCTTAGCTTTCCTCATTCCCTAGAACACACCACCAAGGTAGGTACAGTTTACTATTATACTGCATTAATTTGTTTGATACTCTCAGTTAATATTTTGGTTTGTAATGGAGATTTAACTTCATTAAAGACTGTAACTTAGATTTTTTGAATTCGCCTTTAAACATGTTTACCTGTACAGTACCGCAGTTTGTGTTAAACCATGTAGCTGGTAAGTATAGTTGAGCTCTTCTTTATTTGTATCTGCTTATTTCTTGCCTTTCACTGAAGAGGGAAGCGAATATTTTGAATTCTTGCTGATCACCATAATGGTCAGCTAGAAATCATGTCCACGTATTCCCCTTCATAATTAGAACAAAAGAGATAGAGACAGAGAAAGCAGATATGCAGGCTTTAATGTGTCAATAATAATTTTAAGCTAAAAAATCTGTTTATGTTGGTTTCACTTGTTTGTGGCAACTTGTACAGATTTTAAGAAAATATTCATGTAAATAAGCATGCTTGTCTTGTTCTGCAATTAGTAACACATTTTATTGCCAGTATAAAGTGCCATTTCCCTGCTGCCAATTTTTTTTTTTTTACTACATCAGTGGTTTTCTACTGAGGCAGAAGGTGATCCAAAAAGAAGAAACACTTTCATTATCCTCTGTAATTTTTGCACTCTCTTTTGTCCCCTTTGCCTTTATACGAAGGAATTATGCATGCTCTCTGCCAATCCCTAGGTACCTTATCCTCTTCCATACATTTATTAAATAATAGCACCAACCACTCCAAAACTATATCCCCACCTGCTTTTAACATTTCTATCTTTATCCCATCAATCCCAGCTGCCTTACCCCCTTTCATTTTTACCCACTGCCTCACGAACTTCCCCCACACTCACAACTAGCTCTTCCTCACTCCTACAAGATGTTATTCCTCTTTGCCCTGTACAGGAAACCATGGCTTCCCTATCTTCATCAACATTTAACAATTCCTCAAAATATTCCCTCCATCTTCCTGATACCTCTAACTCTCCATTTAATAACTCTCCTTATTTTTAACTGTCAGATCCATTTGTTCCCTAGGCTTCCTCAACTTATTAATCTCACTCCAAAACTTTTTCTTATTTTCAACAAAATTTGTTGATAACATCTCATTTGCTCTCTTACATTGCTTCACCACTCTTAACCTCTCTTTTTCTCTCCATATACTCTTCCCTCATTTCATCACTTCTGTTTTGTAAAAACCTCTCATATGATAACTTTTTCTCCTTTACTACTCTCTTTGCATCATCATTCCACCAATTGCTCTCCATCCCTCCCGCACCCACTTTCCTGTAACCACAAACTTCTGCTCAAATGTGTGGTGTAAATATTATGCAAAAAATTCAGTGTGGAAATTAGGAGAAGGTGTGGAGTAAATAAGATTATTAGTCAGAGGGACTGAAGAGGGGTTGTTGAGGTGGTTTGATCATTTAGAGAGAATGGATCAATGTAGAACGACATGGAGAGCGTATAAATCTGTAGGGGAAGGAAGGCAGGGTAGGGGTCATCCTCGAAAAGGTTGGAGGGAGGGAGTAAAGGAGGTTTTGTGGGCGAGGGGCTTGGACTTCCAGCAAGTGTGCATGAACATTTTAGATAGGAGTGAATGGAGACGATTGGTTTTTGGGACCTGACAAGCTGTTGGAGTGTGAGCAGGGTAATATTTAGTGAAGGGATTCAGGGAAACCAGTTGTTTTTATATAGCTGGGCTTGAGTACTAGAAATGGGAAGTACTATGCCTGTATTTGAAAGGAGGGGTTTGGGATATTGGCAGTTTGGAGGGATATGTTGTATATCTTTATATGTGCTTCTAAACTGTTGTATCTGGGTGCCTCTGCAAAAACAGTGATTATGTGTGGGTGAGGTGAAATTATTGAATGATGATGAAAGTATTTTCTTTTTGGGGATTTTCTTTCTTTTTGGGTCATCCTGCCTCGGTGGGAGATGGCCGACTTGCTGAAAATAAAAAAAAGTTATGTAGTGTGTTTATTATATAATTATGAAAAAATATCATAGATGGATTAATGAAATTGTTTATATTAACATAATATACGACATTTAATGCACCTCAGAGTGATCATTATTGCGTATTATTATCATCATTATTAATATGGCATCCTCAAGACGAAGTCACTCTTAGTGATTTTAATGTGTACCTGGATGCCAGTACAGTGTGTTTACTCAGGTACATGCACACATAAGTATAATTATCAGAGTATATATAAAACATGAAATAACTTTAAAACACTTGAAATTTTGGAAAGTTTCCACACGTAATGGAGAGATGTGGTGCTTGCGGAGAATGTAAACAAACTGGGTGGGGTGCGGTGACCGTATTAGAAAGTCAGGTGGGGAGAGCCGTATAGCGAGTTTTAGTTATAATTTGAAATGTCTGTATTAGCGGAATGCTCTAAGGTGAAACGCCATAAAGTGGGGTCCTACTGTAATTACATGCTTCCATAAATTACAGTGGACCCCCGGTTTACGATCAGCTCCCAATGCGACCAATTATGTAAGTGTATTTATGTAAGTGCGTTTGTATGTGTATGTTTGGGGGTCTGAAATGGACTAATCTAATTCACAATATTCCTTATGGGAACAAATTCGGTCAGTATTGGCACCTGAACATACTTCTGGAATGAAATAATATCGTAAACCGGGGGTCCACTGTATAAGCTTTTTCTTCTAAAATGGTTGCAGCTACTTGTATGTTGCTATAAAAATAGTTTTTTTCTTCTAGGATGGTTGCAACTACTTGCATGCTGCCATAAAATCAGGTGAAGTTGACTGTGTGGAGGTTTTGTTGCAACACTTACTAGCAATGGAAGATGGTCCCAACTTGTTGCACCGGCTTGCTGGTGGTCCAGACCATCAGGGCACCACACCACTTGCTCTGGCTGTGTCTGCCACCAACTCAGACATGCTAGCAGCACTCAATCATGCTGGGTTAGATATTCCGGCGCTAATCAGTCATAATGTCAGACTTCTCAGTCTTGCATCTTCAGCGGCGATGGCTCTGGTCTCTAGCTCGAGTATGTATTATTGTTATTGTTTATAATTAGCCACATAATTTTTATTTCAAATCCCAATGCAGCTCATTCATTTACTATTTTTAATGCAGCATACGGAATAGTAAAGCCATGCACATCAGTAATAAATCTTTACAGGTAACTTTTATGTCTTGCTGTTTAAGCTGCATCAAATCTTGGTTATTCAGTCATCCTAATAAACTGTTTTCACATGCATTACAATGCTTCATTTTGTGCACAATTTGAGTTTCATCAAAACTCGCATACAGTGTGTTATGCTAGGTTAAGGTAGGTTAACCTGGATATCATTACTACTTAAATTATTGGTAACCCCATGCTCTCTGTTTAAGTTAAAGGGTGCATTGCTTCGTTAGTAAGGAGATCACATGACACTACAGCAATCCCGCTACATCGGTCTCGTTGATTTCTTCAAATCCAGAATCCTTAGTGTCATCATGGCCACAGTTTGTTTAATACAATGTTGTGGTAACCATGAATTTGTCTCAGGATATATTGATGTATGAATAGTATCCATTCACTAATTTTATATTTATGGGAAGTGCTAAATCCTGTGGGTCACTCGCCAGAGGTAATGAAAGCTTGATCCTTTGTCTTCTAATCAGGAGACAGAAACAATGTTTTGTGGCCAAGCTTCTGTTACCTATTTTCAAGGACTCAGTAGGGAATGGAAAGTAATCAGGCTTGTTTCAAGGATGGGGAGGGAAGCTGTAGTTCTTTGGATCAAGAGCCCTTAATTATTTTAAGGAAATTAAATTTGTATCACTGGAAAGGAGAATGGAGAGACAACTTCCACCAAGAAATGGAGCAACTTGATGAATCCAATAATGAGCATATATTACACCAGACATCTTGTGAAGTGCACATAAACATAATAACATGAGCAGGATATGCTAGGCTGACAAATGTTAGGATAATCTTCAGAAATCTAAGCAAGGACTCCATCAGGTCACTCTTCATATGTGTATTAGCTCTTGAGTATGCACTGTTAAGTTAAAAGGAATGTTGTCAGACTAGTGGTGAAACTAACAGGTTTAACCCTTAAACGGTCGAAACGTATATACATGTTCACTCGCGTAGCGCCCCAAATTTTTGGAGGAAAAAAATATCTTTTCTTTTAAAAGGAAAAAAAGAGCATATGGTACCCAGGCATCCCCAATTATTTTAATATGGAACACAGTGAGTGCACACACCCATTCTCTCATGTCTAGGTGACTCAGGCTTATTGTGGCAATGTTGAATGAATGACAAAGAAAACGTATATATACGTTTGGGGCGCTACGCACGTGAACGTATATATACATTTGGACCGTTTAACCCTTTGACTGTTTCAGGCCCCTCTCTGAAACTGTCATTCTATGTCGCTTAATTTTTGAAAAAAAAAAAAAAATTCTTATGAAATGTTAGAGAATCTTTTCCCGTGGTAATGACACCAAAAGTTCGAAATTTTGTCGAAAACTCATGGAATTATGCTCCCGCGAAGTTAGCGGTCTCGGCGATATATGCGAATCGGCGATTTCGCTGACTTTGAGCCCTATTTTCAGCCAATTCCATTGTTCCAGTTGACCAAACTCATAGCTATTTCTTTAGAACTCCATTTTATCTATTAGCTGAGTACAAGAAACCTCCCATTTACTAATTTGGACTACCCAATATGGTGGTCAGAAATTGGCAATTTGGCCAATTTCATGCAAACTAAAAAAGATGCCAATTTCAAAATAGGGTCCAGAATAAACAAGGTAGACATTCGTGGCACTAAAATAACATATGCTCTGTTCATTAGTCACATCTCTAGGCCCCTCTTATATTATTATTGCTTTCTATTTTGATTTTTTATTCATACAAAAAAATACAAAATTTACTGTTATGCAGACTACTGCATTATTGTAAAAATGTATAAATAATATCAGTGCACTAGTGAAAGAATATTAGACTCTCCAGTTGAGTGTATTGGACGTGTGGTGTGTGTATTTATACTCCTGAACATTGCTAAAAATCGAACATTTCCGCTACTTTGAGCTCAGTTTCAAGGTCGTTTTCATCGTCAAAGTAATGAAAATCATCTCTATTTCTGTAATATGTTTTCCATTTTATCACCTAAGACCATGAAAATGCAAATACAACGATAAATACTATACGAAAATACACCTCAAAGTCGGCATTTTATTCCAAAAAAACGATCAGTTTTTTTTTTCTCATTACGCAATGTGTGCTGCAGGATTTTTTTATGTGGTGCACAGTGACCACACAGACCCATTCTCTCATATGTGGGCCTACCAGCTTTCTCCCGCTTGATTTGAAGCCGCTAGAATTATTGAGTATATATACGTCAGAAACATTGGCTCGTAAGACGTATTTATACGTCGAAAACAGTCAAAGGGTTAAGGGTTAAACTACAATGAAGAAGTGCACAGTTGTGTATATTGTGGTATCACATTGTACAAAATGCTCTGGGTCACTGAGAGAGCAAACAGACACACTGCTAGGGAGGAGCCACACCAAAATGACATAGAAACTGAACACTCAGTCAAGTCAAGAGCTATCAGGAAAGAAATTTAAGCTTAGGAGTAATAAAGAATTGGAATGAGCCAGCTACCACCATGGTGGTTTTTATTATATACAGGGTTTGAGTTGATAAAAATGTAATTCATGTCGATCTTTCGATAGTTAAAATATTGGCCCAAACCCCAGAGCCCCACCTTTACAAGTTCAAATAAGCAGTTACTATATAAAAGTTATTTACTGGTATTACCAAATTTGATAGATTGAGAGTAAAGGGACTAAGAGTTTGGGAGGCAAATAGATAGTGCTGAAATGTTCAAATTATTCATAGGTATAAGGATGAATTTTCAACATGGGGTCAGTAAGTGATTAATGATTAAAAGCAGGGCCCAGCAACCAGAACTTGATCCCCACAACCATGACTAGGTGAATGCACATATATTTATCAAAAATACATTTTGTAGGAAAGTACAGTGCTTGCACTGTAAAGGAGGGGTTTGGGATATTTGCTGTTTGGAGGGATATCTGAACTGTCATATCTGTGCATCTCTGGCAAGACAGTGATAGTGAATGTTGGTGAAAGTGTTTAGATTTTGGGTCACCCTGCCTTGGTGGGAGACAGCCAGTGAGTTAAAAAACAATTGTATGGCTTAATATTCAGATGTATAAATACATATGTCTGCACTTGCAGATCGAAGTGAATGCACATGTTCAGTATGGCTTGAAGGACTAGACCTGGACAGAATTCCTGATGGTGATGGAAGCAATGGGCCTAATGGGGACGATGGAGCAGACAACAGTGGGAGGGAGTACAGTGAGCGATGGGCCATCGGTGCCGTGCGGGTGACATCTGCAACACTGTGGGCAGCCCTTGAAGAAACACTAACATCTCTTGCGTTGCACCACTGGGACTCCCTAACAAGGTACAGTATTGGACTTTTGTTGGATGATCTCTTGTCACCTCGTCTCCCACCCAAAAAAAAAAAAAAAAAAATTCTGAGGTTTTCAAGGAAAGGGAGTGAAGTACTGTATAGTATATTGTATGTTAATTTATATACATAACTTATTGATCATGTAATTTTTATAGTCATGCTCTTTAATGTTTATGTACAGTGGTCCCTCGTTGTTCGTAATTAATCCGTTCCTGGAGCCATTACTATAAACGAAATTTACAATTTACGAATCAATTTTCCCCATAAGAAATAATGTAAATACAATTAATCCGTTCCTGACACCCAGAAGTATTAAAACAAAAAAATTTTTAAAATGAAATATACATGTAGTACATAAACAATACAATGGGAAATGATGAATGAAACATTAACAGCATAACACTTACCTTTATTGGAGATTCTTCTTAGTGTATGGGAGATGGAGGAGGAGAGAGTGGATTGTTTATATTTTTGGAAAGGGGGAAAATCCCCTTCCTCAACACCTCGGGTACCATTTGCTTTTCTGGGTTGCTTCTTTTCTCTGTTTCTTAATGCCACTAGGACCACCTTGAGAGTAAACTGGAGTCCTGTCTCACAAAATAACTGGGGAGAGAGCTCTGTTTCTGGCTCTTTTTAAACACTTCCCTAAAATGCCCAAGACTTGTCCTGTACATGTTGCCAACCTGGCTTGCAACAACCTTGTTAGGGTGATGTTTCTCCATAAAGCTTTCCATCTTACCCCACATAGTAAAATATCTTTAATTTCTGAAGAAGGCCCTTCTTCCATCTCTCTTCCTCCTCCTCGCAGCAAGATTCTGACTGCGATGTGTTGCTTTTCCTGCTGAAGCTCTTGCAGCTCCTCAGTGGTGAGCTCTTCATTGTGTCTTCCACCAATTCTTCCACATCCTCCAAACCCCAATCCAACCCCATGGAACTCCGCAGTGCCACAATTGATTTTACAACAGACATGGGCTCATTAGGGTCAGTCCCAAATCCTTCAAATCCCTCTGTTGACACAATCTGGCCACAATTTTCTCCAGGCAGAGTTTCAAAGTCCTGGTAGTCACTCCCTCCCAAGCCATACCTAAAAGGGGTTATGCAGTGGGGGAAATGCTGAAGTTTCTCTCCAAAATTCCCTTAGGGTCAAGTGAATGTCTGTGGTCACAGTCAAGCACCTGTGAAACATTGCTTTTGTTAGAGTTTTTAAAGTTTGCAATAACCTGCTGGTCCATGGGTTGGAGGAGAGGAGTGGTATTCGGGGGCAAGAACTTTACTGTGATGAACCCAAACTCCTCGAAAATTAGGTCATCCAAGTTTGGAGGAAAGAGCAGGTGCATTGTCCATTACTAGTCGCACTTGAATCCAATTTCTTTTCCAGGAGATACTCCTTCACACTAGGCCAAACACTTCATTGAACCACTCGAGGGAAAAATTTTCCCCCGTGACCATGCCTTACTATTAGATTTCCAAAACACACACAATTTACTCTTCTAACATTGTTTTTTTCCCGAACACTCTGGATTTTCAGAATGGTACACTAGTAATGGCTTCACTTTGAAATCCCCACTAGCATTAGCGCAGAACATTACGTCAGCCTGTCTTTCATAGGCTTTTGTCCTGGCATTGCCTTTTCCTCTTTTGTAATGAAGGTCCTCTTTGGCATTTTCTTCCCAAAAAAGGCCTGTTTCTCACAATTGAACACTTTTCAGGTTTCAGTCCTTCAGCCTCTGTACTCCTGGAATTCATGCACATATTTTTCAGCTGCCTTGTGGTCCGAACTGGCAGCTTCACCATGCCTTTTCCACACTGTGTATGCCAGTACGGTTCTTAAACCTCTCAAACCAGCCTTTGCTGGCCCTTTAAAACCACTCACTTTACCACTATTTGCAGGGAATTCTTTACCAAAAACTTCATGCAACTGCCTACCTTTTCACAAATAAACGAAGTCATAAGAGTATCTCCTGCTAATTGTTTTTCATTTATCCACACCAATAATAACTTTTCAAACCCCTTTCCCGTACTGGGGGATCTCATTTTTTCAGCATAGTTACTCCCTTTGCAACAACAGCATCCTTTATTTCATTTTTCTTGCCACTATGGAACATAAGGTTGTGTAGGGTTTCTTATACATCCCGGATAGTTTGCCACACTTGTACCACTTATATTGTTCAATGATGGTTTTCTTAAATTCAATCGTATTTCTCACCTTCTTTACCACAGGCTTGGCACTAGGAGCTTTCTTTGGAGCCATGGTAGCTTATTTAGTACTTGCAAGCACTAAAATAAATGGAATATTATTAAATATTTCGCTGGAGCACGCGAGGGGACCTTCGCTCACTGGTAAACATTGCCAGACTGGCTGCCGCCCTGGCCCACGCCGTGCGTACGCGTCTCGGACGAACTACGACTCGCGAGTCAATCTATGAAAAGCGAGTCCATGTTTATACGAAAATACCCCTATGATCGGCAAATTTTACGATTGCCGGGAACTACGAAAAGCGGGGGACCACTGTACTGTGTTTTTTCAAGCAATTCTGAAAAGTACGCACATTTTCCTTACTAAGTCAAGTTTTAATTGTATGTCATCAAAGGTTTAAATAAATTTAGAGATGAATGTATTATATTTTTCAGAAACCAAGGTACAAGTGGGCCAAGTATAAGCAGTTGTAACCGTCACGGGCCTCTACCTCGAGGAGAGAGACGACGATCTGATCCTCTGCACGACATGGAGGTGAACACTGCATTCTTGGGCCTCGGCAAGTCTGCCATAAGTCATTTCTCCATTGGGCACCATAAATGGACACGGGTCAGTAGATTAGTATCTTTGTCCACACTGTTATACAAAGAATAAATTGGATTCTTTTATTGTTTTACATTATTTTAGTTGGAATGTGGAGACAGTGTCTAATGTAGATTCGTTGAACGCATTACAAGGGGAAAGAATTTTGTAGGTTAGCAGATATTAGTTGATTGAATGTCCGGAACAATAAAAGTTTTGCTGTAAAGTAAAGTATGAAAGGTATGAAAATACTAACAAACAATTAGATAACTGTAGGTAGTAGGTTGGTAGACAGCAACCTTCCAGGGGGGTACTTCCATCCTGCCAAGTGAGTGTAAAATGAAAGCCTGTAATTGTTTTACATGATGGTAGGATTGCTGGTGTCTTTTGTCTGTTTCATAAACATGCAAGATTTCAGGTACATCTTGCTACTTCTACTTACACTTAGGTCACACTACACATACATGTACAAGCATATATATACACACCCCTCTGGTTTTTCTTCTATTTTCTTTCTAATTCTTGTTCTTGTTTATTTCCTCTTATCTCCATGGGGAGGTGGAACAGAATTCTTCCTCCGTAAGCCATGCGTGTTGTAAGAGGCAACTAAAATGCCAGGAGCAAGGGGCTAGTAACCCTTTCTCCTGTATATATTACTAAATGTAAAAGGAGAAACTTTCGTTTTTTCTTTTGGGCCACCCCGCCTCACTGGGATGCGGCTGGTGTGTAGAAAGAAGAAAGAATTAGATAACTGGATGTGATGGAAAGCTATGGATGCTTTATTGGAGGCTTCATGTTGCTTACTAGGGAGGAGGTTATTGTACCTAACTGGATAAAGTGAGGACATAGACAGGTGAGGTGCTAGGGCTAAGCCCCAGTTAACAATGTTGATGCTATCATCTACATTTTTATTAGGGAATATCACACTGGTTTTTAGGTGGACATATAATACACAGGGCTCTCTCTCTGTAATCCTTGAGGAAATATGAAGGGCTCTGCAGTAGAGAAAACTGTGGTAAAAACTCATTGAATGTAGTGTTCAGGGCAGCTAATTCTGTGTGCATGAGAACACATCCTATTATCACTCCTCACTTGGTTCTTGTGTTTTGTATGGAATGAAAATGTAAAAAAGTCATGTTTGTCGGTGGGCTTATAATATACCCAGAATTTTATTGTCGTTATTAGATTTCAGCCAATTTTATTTCCCAACAAACAAAATAGTCCATTCGAGATGGAAAAGCACATACCTCAGTATTTTAGCTGATTTAAATAATTATAATTTTAGCTTCTGGCTACTGAGTTACAACATTTTAAATTTTTATATATAATATTTTTTGAAAAAAGCAGAGAAAAAGATTGTAACTGTAGAAAAAGTGTACTAAGTAATGATATTACAAAAATTTTGATTCATCGAATATTTTTTACGATTGCATAATTTCATAAAGTGATTCCATAAGCCTCATAATAGTTGCATTTTTGTAATTGGCTCAGATTCCTGAATAGATTTTTGCTATTTAGTTTAGAACCTAATTTAACAACGTGAACTGAAGGTGTGCAATAAAATTTCAACTTTGCCTTTGCATTATGGGAATGGATAAGTGAATGACCCGTATTTGTTGTAAAATTTTGATTGAAAGTCTGTGAAATAATAATTTTGATTTCTTATGTGAATTGCTTATCAGTTTTATATTACTATAACCCCCCTGAGGCAGCAACCTTGTCGTGGTGGGGGGGCTTGTGGTGCCTTCTATGACCCAGCAGGCAATGTTGGCAGGTGCCTGTGGATAGGAATGGTGGGCAGGGGCTCCTCTGCTACTTTGGCTGCTGATGAGGAGGCCAGACCAATAGCTGCCACCAATGTAGAACTTCCATTAAGGTCTTTACCTCCATCCACTGGAGGGATGACTAAGGAAAAGGTTGGGTGTGTGGGCTGAAATATGTTAGGTAAAGGAGGCTTCACACTATTGAGGACGAGTATTCAAACCACGGAGGGTTCTGGTGGAGGAGGCTTCTCAGGGATGCAGGTATCCCACTTAGGTTTGCCTACACTTGGTCCCCTCAGTCTTCAGCGGATGGTATTCTTCAGCTCCAGGGATTAAGATATTTTGAATAGTATGTCATATGGATTTGTGTGTTACAGCCAGGACTCTTAAGTGGGCAACCAGGCCTGTAAGCCACCTCATTCTGAAAGATTCTCAGTGACTTGCCCCACTGTCCTGGTGTTCCACAAGATCCTTCCACTGGCAGTCAGTGCAGTATGTCTACCACTTTTCAAGAGTGTGATGTGTCACATTCACTTGAAAAAATTCCTTCTAGTGGCATCTTCACTGTGACATACATATTGATTATTTTTTTTTTTTTCACTCCAAGTACTGCATAAGTGCTTGATGAAACAGTTCCCATTATGCTGCATTATCCATTTCTTTTTATGCTTGACTTCTCTAGAAAAATATTACATGCAGTACAAGCAGAGTGTATGCTGCTTAAGTCTCTCACCACATTTATTGCATTTTTCCTTTTATATTGTATTAATGTTGGTAGAATTACCAACAATATGTTAGGTAAAAGGACACAAGTGCAACTAATGTGACATTTTATTGTGGCAACGTTTTGCTCTCCTAATTGTGGTTGCAGGGGTCGAGACTCAGCTCTTGGCTCTGCCTCTTCACTGACCACTACTGGGTCCTCCCTCTCCCTGCTCCATGAGCTTTATCATACCTTGTCTTAAAACTATGTATGGTTCCTACCTCCACTACATCACTTGCCAGACTGTTCTACATTCTAACAACTCTGTGGCTGAAGAAATACTTCCTAACATCCCTTTGGCTCATCTGAGTTTTCAACTTCCAGTTGTGACCTCTTGTTTTTCTATGTCCCATCTCTGGAACATCCTGTTTCTCTCCACCTTATCTATTCCACGCAGTATTTTGTATGTCGTTATCATGTCACCCCTGACTCTCCTGTCCTCCAGTGTCGTCAGACCGATTTCCCTTAACCTTTCTTCGTAGGACATTCCCCTTGGCTTTGGAACTAGCCTTGTTACAAACTTTTGCACTTTCTCTAATTTCTTGATATGCTTGACCAGGTATGGGTTCCAAACTGGTGCTGCGTACTCCAGTATGGGCCTGACGTATAAAGTCTTGAACGATTCCTTACTGAGGTATCGGAACTCTATTCTCAGGTTTGCCAGGTGCCCACATGCCGCAGCAGTTATTTGGTTAATGTGGGCTTTCGGCGATGTGCTCGGTGTTATACTCACCCCCAGATCTTTCTCCTTGAGTGAGGTTTGCAGTCTTTGGCTGCCTATCCTATACTCTGTCTGCGGTCTTCGTTGCCCTTCCCCGATCTTCATGACTTTGCATTTTGCAGGGTTAAATTCTAGGAGCCAGTTGCTGGACCACGCGTCCAGCCTGTCCAGGTCTCATTAGACCTGTCTGGTCTGCATCTGATTTAATTCTCCTCATTAACTTCACATCATCTGCAAATAAGGTCACTTCTGAGTCCATCCCTTCCATCATGTCATTCACATATACCAAGAATAGCACTGGTCCTAGGACTGACCCCTGTGGAACCCCGCTCACCACAGGTGCCCACTGTGATACCTCATCATGTACCTTGGCTAACTGTTGCCTCCCTGTCAGGTATTCTCTGATCCACTGCAGTGCCCATCCTGTTATATGTGCCTGATCCTCTAGCTTCTGCACTAATCTCTTTTGAGGAACTGTGTGTGCGCATGTGTGTGTGTGTGTGTGTGTGTGTGTGTGTGTGTGTGTGTGTGTGTGTGTGTGTGTGTGTGTGTGTGTGTGTGTGTGTGTAGCATCAGCCAGCCAGTAGACGGTAATTTTTCCACAGGAGCAACAAGTACTGTTACCAGTGGAATATTTAAGAAAATATTTATTAAACTGAAAATGAAGACAAGACACCATGAGTATAGCTCTACTTGTATAACTACAAATGGTATTTACATACCTCACTCATTCACGAACATACATATATTCACAGCTATCATTTGATCAAAGTATTCAAATTTCTCAGAGATGTTATTTGTTTTCTTAATGTATTTCAAATGTGAGTCAGTAGTTTTTACTTTGGTCTTTTTTTTTACATGTTAGTTTAATTCTGTGTACATTTTATACGTAACTGGTTTACTTGCAGGGTGAGTATGGCCTGGTGAGTGGGCCGTATGATCTACTAGTGAACAACAGTGCCCAAGACATTTGTATACATCTACATACTCTGGAAGCAGTAGCTTATTCACTCCTGGTTCCCCTTCCTATTCTCAAGAATTATCTACGCTTGGTAATAATTTTGTCTTCGTAATCGATTATCCCATCTAAGTAAATAAACTCTATCTCTGTAACAAACTGCTGAATAGTGTAACTGACAAGCTCTTTGGGTAGCAGTGAAAATGGGCTAGACAGATGTATCTAGCATAGGCCATGTAGGCCTACTGCAGTACTTTACTTAAGTCTTCTCATATGGGGTATGTACTTTCTTTTTTTGAACACTGGCTGTCTCCCACCAAGGCAGGTGACCCAAAAAAGAAACATTTTCATTATCATTCACACTATCACTGTCTTGCCAGAAGTGCACAGATAAGACAGTTCAAATGTCCCTCCAAACAGCAAGTTTATCAAACCCCTTCCTTTAGAGTGCGGCACTGTACCTCCACCTCCGGGACTTAAATGACAAACTGGTTCCCCCGAACTCTTCAAAAAAATGTTACCGTGCTCACTTTCCAACATTTATTACCCCAAAAAACCATTTCCCTTCACCCAACCCCTATATAAGGCTCAATGTGCCTGCTGGTTTTTTTTTTTTTTAACATTCGGGGTTTTCCCACCGAGGCGGGGGTGACCAAAAAAAAGAAATACCCCAAAAGAAAAAAAAAAAAAATTTTCATCATCTTTTCAACACTCTCACCATCACCCATACAAAACCCTTTCTTTCCAGGGGCCTTAATACGAGGGCTTAGATTTCCCCCAAACTGCCAATCCCCCAAACCCCCCCTTTTAAAAAGTACAGGCATTGTACTTCCCATTTCCGGGACTCAATCAATACCCATTTTTCCCTAACCCTTCAAAAAGTATTACCCTGCTCACTCCCAACAGTTTTGCAGGCCAAAAAACCATTCGCTCCATTCACTCCTATCTAACATCCACGAAACGCTTGCTGGAAGCCCAAGCCCCCCCACCCAAAAATTTCCCTTTTACCCCCTCCCTCCAACCTTTTCCTCCCCTACAGATTTATATGCTCTACAATCTTTCTGTTTTTGTTAAATTTCTCTCTAAGACCAAACCCCTCAACAGCCCTCTTCACTCCTCTACAATATTTTTAGAAACTCCACCCTCAAATTTCCCCACACGATTCCTCAAAAATTTTTAAACCACATTTCCCTTAGACCAACACTCCACTGCCCCAGCCGCCTCCTCACGGGCAGCATTTACAACCCTGCTTCAAAACCTATAAAATGTTTTGGTCCCAACTTTTCTTTTGAAAATTTTCCTTTCTTGCCCCCCCATGGATAACGTTCTTTTTTCCCACAATACCTCAGCGCACCCTCCCCCTTTTTCCTTCATCAATTTTTGTGGTTAACCTCATCCTTCATAAACCCATCTGCTGACAAGTCAATTCCCCCAAATTTTTTGAAAACATTCACTTTTTTCCATACTACCTCCCCAGGGGTGAAAAATCCAATTTTCCTTTTTTTCTAAATCATTTGATAACCTCATCCCTTACTCTTATCTATTTTCATTTTAAACTTTCAAACCTTTACACCCCCTCCCAAACTGGGCCCACTAACCTTTGCGCTTTTCTTTAGAACCCCCCCAGCAGCACATATCATCAAAAAAAATAGCTAATCAACCCCCCTTTTTTTAATTTTGTTCCCCAAAATTTAACCCCCCACCCCTCTCCCCCCAACACCCCAAAGCTTTACTTCTTTTAAAACCCCATCCTAAATATTTTAAAAGAAAACCATGGGGCCCTTATACACCCAAACATTGCCCTTATACACGACACCCCCTCCACGCCCCCAAACCCACCTCCCCCCACCTCCTTTTTCCACCTCCTCTTCCCCTCCTTTTCCCACCTCCTCTTCCACCTCCTTTTCCCCCTTTCCTCTTTAAACCTCCTTTTTCCACCCCTCTTCCCCCCTCCTTTTCCCACCCCCCTTTTCCCCCTCCTCTTCCCCTCCTTTTCCCAAAAACCTCCCTTCCCACCCTTTTCCCACCTCCTCTTCCACCTCCTCCTCCACCTCCTCTTCCACCCTCCTCTTCCCCCTTTTTCCACCCCCTCCCCAAACCTCCTCCTCCACCCCTTTTCCCCACCTCCTCTTCCACCTCCTTTTCCACCTCCTCCTCCTCCACCTCCTCCCCCTCCTCCACCTCCTCCACCTCCCCCCTCCCCCCTTCCTCCCCCTCCACCTCCCCCTCCTCCCCCAAACCTCCCCTCCACCTCCTCCTCCACCTCCTCCACCCCTCCTCCCCCCCTTTCCACCCCTCCCCTCCTCCCTCCTCCTCCACCTCCCCCCTCCACCCCTCCCCCAAACTACTCCTCCACCTCCTCCTCTTCCACCTCCTCCTCCATAAATATGTTAAGCAACCAGGTTAAACATTATACATCGCACTTTTCCCTTAGACCCCGACATTTTCCACTGCCTCCAACCACCTCCTCCTCCACCTCCTCCCCTTTTTCCCTCCCCCACCTCCTCCTCCACCTCCACCTCCCCCCTTCCTCCTCCTCCCCAAACCCCTCCTCCTCCCCTCCCCCCTCCTCCCCCACCTCCTCCTCCACCTCCCCCTTTCCCAAACCTCCCCTCCACCTCCCCTCCACCTCCTCCTCCTCCTCCTCCCCCCACCCCCTCCTACACCCCCTTCCACCTCCTCCACCTCCTCCTCCCCACCTCCCCACCTCCACCTCCCCCCTCAAACCCTTCCACCTCCCCCTTCCCTCCCCCTCCTCCTCCACCCCCTCCCCCTCCCCCTCCTCCCTCCCCCCTCCTCCATAAATTTTTAAAAGCAACCATGGACTTTATACTCGAAATTTTTTCCCTTAACCGACATCTGCACGGGGCCTCCAACCACCTCCCCCACCTTTTTTTCCACCCCCTCCTCCCCCCCTCCTCCACCTTCTCCCCACCTTCTCCTCCACCTTCTCCTCCTCCCCCCTCTGTAGACAGCCTGTACTGTCAAAAAACACAGCCTAGCCGTTTTGTTCTGACTATTTAAATTTTTCGCGGCTTTTAAAGGTGCTGCCCTCTGAAGGCTCACCCCGGGTCAGGGGGAGGCTGACCCCAAACCCGGTCTCACCCCTAAGCACCAACTTGATAACACAAGGTTTCCCCCCCCAAACGGACGGGCCCTTGGGCGTCACCCCCTCAAACGGCCCGTTTTGTACCATTTTCCTATCCAATTAAACCAAACTATCCAGGGCTGTACCCATTGCTCCCTTTACGCTCCCTTCTCGGCACTAAACTGCGTTCAGCAGCAAAACAGCAATAACATGGTGACAGCAAAGCCCAAGGGCATTTGACCTCTTCAGGGTGGGGGTCGACGCCCTTTCAAAAACCAAAGGGTTCGATCCCAAGTCAATATCGCCCGTCGCATCCAACCACCTGCTGGCCAAAGATTTATCTTTTAAACCCCAGCGTCTTGAGGGAAACCTGAAAAAATTTTCCCGTCCTGTTTTTCCCCCAACAAAATCTGGACATGGGCATAAATCCCAGCCTTAGCATCACGTTTCACCTCATCACCCTCTAAACCAGCCCTTAAAAACACCCCTCCAGCCCCAAATTTCTCCGCCTCCTACAAGCGTCCCTACGCCCTTCTCACTACAAGAAAAAATAAAGGGGAGGCGTTTATTTGTTTGGGTTTTGGTGGCCCCCCCCGCGTGACCACGAGGCAGCTCTGGGGGTTTGGTTAAAACCCATCAGCGTGTAAAAACACCACCTCCCTCAGCCCTCTCTGCTACCAAAACGTCCATCTCGCCTTCCCCCCCCCGGGGTGTTGTTTTTCTTCCCCAGTTTTTCCCCAAGAAGTTTTACCGCTTAAAACCCCATGGGAACCCAGTGGGCCAGCCCCTAAGCCAGCATTTTTTCAGCCCCCACGCCATCTACAGCACTCTTTTACTCAACATTTTTGGGCACAACTACTCACATCTACAACTCCACCAGTGCAGTTTTTTTGTGTTTCCCAGTTTAAATTTTTTTTTTTTTTTTTTCCCATTCTGTTACATCCCCAGTTTAAACACCAGTTTTTTTTCCCGAGATTTGTTACAGAAAAAACCCCCTCGCCCCGCTCAAAGGGTTTTAACCCTAAGTTTGGTTTTTTTGCACGTTTGAGAAATGGGAGTAAATGTTTTTTTCTCCGTGTCTGAAGCCGCAGGGGCATCTCTGGACTCTCTCCCAATGGGAAAAAGCGCGGGGAAAACATTTTCCCCTTCCCCCCGGATGGAGAGTTTTTTTTTTTTCCTGTTTTCATTTTTTTGTCCCTTTTTTTTTTAAAAGTGAGCGAAAGCCCGTCCCTCCTGGGTACAATGTAATAAAACCTTTATACCTACGGCCCACCATTTTTAACGTCCCCCACGCGAGGGCGTGGGCCCACAAAAGTAGACAAACCTTACGTCAGAACACACAGCCTAGCCGTCTGTTCTTACAGTTCATATTTCCGGCATTTAGGTGCTGCCCTCTGAGGCTCACCCAGGTTTTGTGGGAGGTTTACCCAAATTTTGTTTTCACCCTAACCGACCAACTTATAGACACAAGTTCTCCCCCTTCCCCCGGAAATGGCTTGCAGCACTCCCTCACACTGCCCCTTGTGTACTCACTCCTATCCAAAAAAGCCAAACTATCCACAGCCGTATCCAAATTCAACCTATCACCTTTACCGGCACTTTTTAAAATGCTGTTTTAGCAGGGAATAACAGTCCCCCCCTTTACCTCCTCCTCCACCTCCTCTTTTCCCCCTCCACCTCTTCCTCCTCCACCCCTTTTTCCTCCCCCACCCCTCCACCACCTCCTCTTTTCCCCCTCCCCCCTCCTCTTTCCCCCCCCACCCCCTCTTCCTCCTCCCCCCTCCTCCCCCTTTTTTTCCCCCACCTCCCCCCCCCTCCTCCCCTCCACCTCCACCTCCACCACCAAACCCCCACCACCACCTCCCCCCCACCACCACCACCTTCCAACCCCCTCCTCCACCCCCCCCCCCCACCCCTCCACCCCCCTCCTCCTCCCCCCCTCCCCCTCCTCCCCCCTCCTTTCCCCCTCCTCCCCCCTCCTCCCCCTTCCACCTCCTCCTCCCCACCTCCTCCTCCTTTCCCCCCCTCCTCCTCTCACCTCCTCCTCCTCCACCCCTCCTCCTCCACCTCCTCCTCCTCCAAACCCCCCTCCTCCTCCACCTCCCCCCTCCACCCCTCCTCCACCTCCTCCTCCTCCTCCACCCCCCTCCTCCTCCACCTCCTCTCCTCCTCTTCCTCCTCCTCTTCCTCCTCCTCTTCCTCCTCCTCTTCCTCCTCCTCTTCCTCCTCCTCTTCCTCCTCTTCCTCCTCCTCTTCCTCCTCTTCCTCCTCCTCTCCCTCCTCCTCCACCTCCTCCTCCACCTCCTCCTCCACCTCCTCCTCCACCTCCTCCTCCTCCTCTTCCTCCTCCTCTTCCTCCTCCTCTTCCTCCTCCTCTTCATCCTCTTCCTCCTCCTCCTCCCCACCTCCTCCTCCACCTCCTCCACATCCTCCTCCTCCTCCTCCTTCTTCTTTTACATTCTCACCCCATGCTTGACACTCATATAAGAGTGTTGGTACCACTATACTCTCATACATTCCTCTCTCTGCCTCCATGGATAACATTCTTTGTATCTACAGATACCTCAATGCACCATCCACCTTTTTTCCTTTGTAAATTCTATGGTTTACCTAGTCTTTCATGTACATATGTTTGTAGTTCCTTATAATTAACAAGTGCCTGCTCACTATTAATAGGCAAATGGGAAAAATAATTGTAATACCAGGTAGCTGATATATTAGTAGTATTACTTTTTTGTTTACATATTCAGACAGTTTTATAAAAATTGTTGAATGACTTTTTTTCAGATTGAGCAGTCACAGTGTGTGGTAGTGTACGGTCCTCAAGACAGTGGGAAGCGCTCCCTTGTGAGATGTCTTGCACACTTGAAGAGTGGTGGCGGCGGCATGGCAATGACTACGATAGATATGAGCAGTGGAAGGGCAGCTAGTTTGGAATCCATCCGAAGTATTGTGGAAAGTGGTGGAGGTCTTGTTGTTATGGAACACGTTTCTCGAGAAGCATGGCCTGGAGTATGGGCCATGGTTCAAGGAGTCAACAGTGGAACAGTTCTAGTGACCATGGATGCCTGGAGACGTCCAGGTGGAGGGCAGCTCGAAGGTGGTGTGTTGTGGGTGCAACTGCGGCATGATCGAGAACCCTTGGTCTCTATTCTGAGCCGCTCTCTCACCAGACATATAGCCTCATTACACGCTGGAGTCTTTCCATCACCCGCTTCGGAGACAAATCGGGTCATTGACTGGGTAACTGGAGCTTGGGGACGCTTGACTGCCACACTCATGGCTCTAGGGTTCTCATCTGCAATTCATGGCCCTCATCTGTTTACCCAGACTCTATTGGCAGCCAATAACCCCAGAGATATCTTGAGGTATGTTTACTACATTTTTGCTAGATTGACAAATGTTGTTAAGATACGTACATTGGATATCAAATTGGGGAGGAGTATGGAAGAAGTGAATGTTTTCAGATACTTGAGTTAACGTGTTGGCGGATAGATTTATGAAGGATGAGGTTAATCATAGAATTGATGAGGGAAAAAAGGTGAGTGGTGCATTGAGGTATATGTGGAGTCGAAAAACGTTGTCTATGGAGGCAAAGAAGGGAATGTATGAAAGTATAGTAGTACCAACACTCTTATATGGGTGTGAAGCTTGGGTTGTAAATGCTGCAGCGAGGAGGTGGTTGGAGGCAGTGGAGATGTCCTGTCTAAGGGCAATGTGTGGTGTAAATATTATGCAGAAAATTCGGAGTGTGGAAATTAGGAGAAGGTGTGGAGTTAATGAAAGTATTAGTCAGAGGGCTGAAGAGGGGTTGTTGAGGTGGTTTGGTCATTTAGAGAGAATGGATCAAAGTAGAATGACATGGAGAGCATTTAAATCTGTAGGAGAAGGAAGGCGGGGTAGGGGTTGTCCTCGAAAAGGTTGGAAGGAAGGGGTAAGGGAGGTTTTGTGGGCGAGGTGCTTGGACTTCCAGCAGGTGTGCATGAGCATGTTCGATAGGAGTGAATGGAGACGAATGGTATTTGGGACCTGACGATCTGTTGGAGTGTGAGCAGGGTAATATTTAGTGAAGGGATTCAGGGAAACCAGTTATTTTTATATAGCCGGACTTGAGCCCTGGAAATGGGAAGTACAACGCCTGCACTTTAAAGGAGGGGTTCGGGATATTAGCACTTTGGAGGGATATGTTGTGTATCTTTATACGTATATGCTTCTAAACTGTTGTGTACTGAGCACCTCTGCAAAAACAGTGATTATGTGTGAGTGAGGTGAAGGTGTTGAATGATGATGAAAGTATTTTCTTTTTGGGGATTTTCTTTTTGGGTCACCCTGCCTCGGTGGGAGACGGCCAACTTGTTGAAAAAAAAAAATACATACATTACCATTAATGAACTCCTGAAAGGTTTGAAGCTGGTGAAAGGTTCTTGATCCAAGTAACCAGACTTGTCCTCTTGTTCCTTAGATCAGACCTGAATGCCTCCCATTTCTCAGATGCTATGTAATCCTTAATACTTTAGTGCTTCCCTCTGATTAAATTTAATGGACTAATAGAGGGGATAGGGTGGCCAGTAATGGTGAGTATGGAGATAGTGTTGTCACTGATTGTAACTGTAACAGACAGCTCTGTAACCAGTGATTATAACTGTAATGGACAACTCTGCAACCAGTGATTGTACCTGTAGCAGACAACTCTAACCAGTGGACTTTGTTACTTCTGAATTTAGGGTCTACCATTAATAAAAATTCACATTGTCTGACTTATGGTGGATGACATTGTTTTAGATAATGGTTAGAATGATAGGGGACTTCATTACGATACACCATCCAAAGAGGTACTACTAGGTCATATTGGGTGTGCAGAGGAAATCTGTTAATTCTTTCCCACTAGCAGAATTGCTGATCTTCTCTTTGTCTCATAAGCACATAGATGACAGGTAAATCTTACAAACTTCTACTGACATTCAATATGTACAGTATATCCAGTACCTTTACTCCTTCATTCTTCTTAATAGTTCTTAATCTTGTACTATTTCCTTTCCAGTGTAGGAGGCCTGGTTTAAGACCAGGCTATGGGGAATATAATTCCCCAGTAGACACTTGTTTAATCAACCTTCTCTCATCTAGAATTAGTCAACTGTCCAGTTGCTAGCTCCAGTATGCCCCACAATTATTCATGGGATGAGAGAATGGTATGCCAGTATTTAAGCAATACAGCAGGCATGTGTTAGATAGGACTGAGTGGAGGCAAATGATTTTTGGAACTTGATGAGCTGGAAACTGGTTAGCCGGACTTGAGTCCTGGAGGTGAAAAGTACAGTACCTGCACTTTTAAAGGAGGGGTTTGGGATATTTGCTGTTTAGAGTGACATACACACTGTTGTATCTGTGCGCCCCTTCAAAGACAGTGATAGTGTGAATGATGGTGAGTGTTTTTTTTTTTTTTTTTATCCCCCTGCCTCAGTGGGAGATGGCCATCATGTTAACAAAAAATGTTGGTTAATTATCATTTTGTGCGTGTTTCATTGTAGTCTCTGAAGCAAGTTTATAAACAGTAACAAAGACTTGTCCTGCATATCACTATCAGAATGTGCTGCTTTCCTATGTAATGTTCAGTTCCTACCATTAACTTCATATCTTTTACCCTTACACAAGTAGATTTAAAATAATGACTCATTTCAGTATCATATTAGGGAGAAAGTTAAAATAAAAAAAATTATTATTGACATTGTAAGAAATTGCAGCACAATAGATAGTGTAGGATTTGTTGATTTAGTGATGAGTAATACACTAAATAATAATTATGATTTTTCAGAGGAGTACAGCATCTGTGGAATAACATCATAAGTGAAGAAATTCGCACTGAGGTGGTCACTGTTTGGAGGAGGTCCAGTGTTGGGGGAGAAGTGGATGAAGCCAGGGTTACCAGCATGGCTTTATATGTAGTAATTCAGCGCAGTCTTGCCCCAGGCTTACCCTTACCCACTTCAGAAGCTCACGATTTCCTGGCAGCTCTAGATGGTGGTCTGGGGAGATCTGCTTTCCGAGGTATGAAATCAACTCTTCCATCGTCTCGACCGAAGGACTTACCATTGGAAGTGATGGGCAATAATCCTTGGACAGGTTCATCATATGAGAGATCAGAAAATCAGTGCCCCACTGTTGGTGTGGCATCACCCACTTCACCTGAGTGGGATGAGGATAACCTAACAAAGATTTTGGGTCTTTCACCTATGGGATATGCGTGACCTTGGTATCTCCTCTCTCCACTTGCCTCTTACATAGTATTTGTAACGACATAGTGTGATTGGACACCCTTTCATGTTTTATTCCCCTCTTCCCAACTTCCATAAAGCCACCTGAAACTCTCTCTTCAGAATGAACATTTTCTCCAGACTGGTTATGCATCAAATGATGTGGAAGATGATGCCCTGAAGCCATCTGGTTTGATCTCAGCAAAAAAAAAGTTATCTACTGTAAGGAATGTAAATTACATAGCTTTGGATCATTCAGTTTCCCGAAATCTGTGCTGCTGTTTATTAAGGTTGAGTTGTGTTTTGCATTATTGCTCAACTCTTCCTACTGTATAGGTGCTATGTGTGACTGTTGCATTGAAAAGCAAATGAACAGCTACCCTCTAGCATTGTGAAGATAGTTTTCTTGAGTGTGGAGGCCTGTATCAAGTGAAATTAGTGTGAATGTGTATCTTTATCACTTAACTAGCAATGGTCATCCTCATCTCTTATTCACTAGCATATTTGAGCAGCTTGATGTGATACTTGCATTTGTTCTTCCAGTGGTTTGATCTGTTTTGTTTTCTGAGGCAGAGCTTTTTATACTTATTGAGTGATGAGCAATCAGACACATGCACAGGTAGAGGAGGATCACAGTTCATAGCTTTAATATTACCAAGATATTCAAAACTGTTTATGGTTCTAGTAATGCTCACCAGTTACAGAACTGGGATTGACCTTGGCAACTGTTCCACTGATGCAAACTGAAATGTGGATGCAATCAATGTCCAGTGCAGGTCTCTCGCTTGGATGAGCAGAAAGCCTTGGTCCAGTGACCTGAATCACCACTGCGTGGGTCGTGTGACTAAGACTTACATTATGAGACATTGTTATGTTTCTTCAGATAAACAAAATACCCCATTTAGATGAGCAAGTAGAAAACCAGCATGAGGATTTCAGATCCTAATTTGCACATAATAAAACTCTTAAAAGGTTTTTTATAACAGACCTAAGCCAGTATCTTTGCATTGTACCTCACTTATACCATCTTGAATATGAATCTTCCAGTGCAAAAGCTTATATACATGTATATGTATGAATGAGCAGAAGGGTGGACATGAGGCTTGAACTACAGTCCATAAATTGACAGTCCGACACTACCGGACCACGGTTCAAGCCTCTCGTCTCCTCTTCTGTTTATTCATTGACAGTTGTTTATTACAACTTAATTTGAGTTCATGTATATGTATATTGATGATAGGCATATAAAAAAGTTTGTAATATAAGAAGTTGGTTTCATATTCACACAGTGTGAGGTGTACTGATGCAGTTTAAAGATTTTGGTTTGTGGTCTGAACTAAGATAATTATACATTAGGATGGCAATATTCAGTGTCTCCCAGGTCCTCTGTGTGAGTATAAACAGTAACCTGTCTTAGTGTTATTCTGTACTCGTGTGATACACTCGTTTCTCTTGAGTGGTCTCGTGGCAGTAAGCAATAGGTAATGAATGTGTGATGTTGTATCAAGCAAAGAAATTACACAAGTGTAAACCAGTGATTTAAGTAGGACTGCAGATGTAAGTTTTGTAGAATATGGGGTACACACACACACACACACACACACACACACACACAAACATATACACAAACCACAAAGAGGAAAAATGTTTAATCATTTCTTTAGCCACCTGTTACATGACCTCCCATACCATTAAATATATAGTATATCTCCATGTATGACAAGATCCAAAGACACTCGCGTCTATGTAGTTCTGTGGATTGAAAAAGCGTGCATACACAGTATATATTTTCATGATTTGTTAAGAAGAAAATTTGCACGTCAGGTACATCTTGATAATGAGAGAGCACATGTACAAAAAACAATTCATATGCTCGATATATCAATCTCATGATCGAAAATAGTAGATTGATTAAACTAGTAGCATTAGTAGCTGTTTTAATCGATCATATACTATAGTCAAGGATTCTGACCTTGCATGTAGGAGGTAAATGTTATATTTTTTTAATTTGAAACTTAGTTTTTTGTCTTTGACCTAGAATATCTTAGAAATATTTACGATGCTCAATCTGTTTTGCTTAGATAATCTTTAAGATTGAGCTCTATTAGGTTTTCCATTATGGTATAATAAATTCATAGATGGATGTTTTGCAAGGATCTAATATTTCTAATAATTTTTTTATGTGGCATTAAACACATAAATGTAATCCAAGTATATTCTAAGATGGATACATTATCATTTGATCACTGATGTTAGGAGTACCCAATGTGGGTGTTTTCTAAGCTAAACAAACAGGTGGGAAGTGGTCGCCTTTGATCAGATGAAGACTTGGCCATCTTTACATTGTGTTCTTCATACTCGTTAGGAAAGTACTCTTAGTACCTCTCATTTCTCTCATTACTCGACTACATGTCAGCAAGATATTTAATGGGGCATTACACACTTCAACTAGTTCAGGCATGTTGTTCTCTTGAATGAAGAAGAGTCTTAAATTTCTTTGTTTGGGCTGGTATCCGAGGTTAGGTACGTGTATGCATTGTACAAGCAATTACCTGTGATTATCAGGTAATGAGAAATATACTAGGTTTATTAAATTTATATCTGTGACAGCTTCTTCAGAATGTCCCTGATGAAGATATTCATTGAAGAGACATAGGGTATATTATAATTCTTCGTGATTCTATGCTACAATCCTCTTGTATTGTGTATTGTCTCTTGTATTTGTTTCTCTCCTTACCGATTTTCCTAAATTTGTTGTTAACTTTTAATACTTTTATTTTATGCCATTGTATAGTAATTTATCAAGGCAAAAGTATTAATTTTAGTAACATAATATTTCTGTGATCAGATAATCAAATGAGATAGGCCCTGGAAGAAGTCTATATTTATTGTTTAGGCTTAGCGAAAAGTGTAGCATACGCTGTCCTCTGAAAGCTTCTTCCATGGTATTTTTCATCATGTTATATGTAATGTGTTGAGGCATGATAACAAAATTATCATTAACAAGAGGTAAAGTGCAGAGTGGCCATCAACAGGCCACCACCTCGTCCTTAGCCTATACATTAATGTGATTGTCCAGGCCTTCTCATATATAATGTTAAATTTATTATTTAATACTTATCACACATGAAATGTTCAAATGCATTATGTACAGCTCTCTATTTATTGTTGAAAGGTAATTTTAGTATTATTTTAACATGACTATTTACAACCATTTCTTTGAAGGTTAATTTAGAAAGTCTTGTTTATGAATATTTCTTTGGAATATATTTATTAAATGTGATTTATTTACAACCATTTCCTTGGAAGTCCTCATGCAAAACTGCATGAATGGAATAACATATTTAAAAAACATAATTTTTTTTTTTTTACACTATTTGTTTCAGTTGTATTTTTGTCAAACCTGATTAACCACAAATATTACCTAGAGAAGCTTTTGGGAATAATATTTATTATTAAGTTTGTATTATTTATAGAACATGAATCAAATGCAAACACTAATATTGTGGCTAATCAGCTTCTTGGTCAGCTATCTTTTTCGTATTAACCAAGTGTTAATATAATCAGCAGGTGCCTTCAGTATAGCTATTTACTGGAGTTCCAAATACACACATTTTGTACTGGTATTGTTAGCTCTGCAATTATCACATCTCTGGATGTGGTCAAAACTATATGCAAGGGCAGTATCTGTCAGTAGATAGTAGTCATTTTGTGTAACCCTGAGCTGTTCACGCATGTAGGTCAAATATGAAATAAAAAAAATATTTTGTTGTGTGAACAACAAGAATTAATGTTGAATATTGTTAACGAAGACCAAATTAAATTATTGTTTTTCTTTTTTCATTATCTTCTGTTTCACTAGTTTTTATGGGCTTAACATAAAATTGATATATTTTTACTACAGGTAAATTACATCTGTGGGATGAATTAGTGAAAATACCTCAGACTTCCACAGAATCACTTCTGCGGGAGAAATGTTCTTAGCAACATTAATGGTGTCTCAACCATTTCTGTATTGCAGGCCGTTTGGTGATCTACCATATTAATTCAGTTGCACATTATTCTACCTTTTTCTTCTCTTGACTTTATCTGCTCCATATACCAGAATTTTCCCTGTTTTATAGTGCAGCAATTGATTGTTGAGTTACCTTTACAATAGCCAAACCTTACAGAATTCTCAAAGCAAATATTTTTATCATAGCTGTAAAATAAATGTTTGGCACTTGAGCTATGAGGACAATAGCTGTTTTTTTTTTTTTGTTTTTTTAAGTATGCCTGCGCCATTCTGCTTTGGAGATTAAAAACCAGCAACTTGATATAGTTCTCAGATGGACAACCATGGGATGAATGGGGTTAAACTTCACATGTCATTCAGTATATATGAATGATTAGGGAAGGTTGGTCATTCATGTTGGGTGGGGCCTAAAAGACAAAAACTCTAGTAATCACAACATTTTATTTTTAAACACTTACTGTGGTATAAACCTTGGTAATAGTTACCGACAAACTGGTTTAGAAAGACAGGTGAGCAAACACCAGGACATACTTATTAGAAAACATTTTGGTCCTAGGACCTTGATCACTTCTCAGTTCAGAAGTGATCAGGGTCCCAGGACTGAAACGTTTTCTAATAAATATGTCCTAGTGTTCACTCAGGTTTCTTTCTAAACCAACACTTACTGTAGCATGCTGTTAATAATCTATAGTAATGAACAGGTTTGGCTTAGCTCAGTTTGTGACATTTGAAATTTGTAGTAGACAGTCATTTTTCAATGCTTGAAGAGAGTATGTGGATCCTTCAACTGCTATATTCATTGAAGGCTTAAATGGTCATAACTCTTTTCAAGAAAATTACACATTCGTCAACTAAGCCTTTCATGTGTTTAGTAACAAATATTAAGTGATGAATGTGAATTTGCTTCAATTAACAGAAGCTTTAGTGATGGTCTAATGACCAGAAGAGAGATGGTCCCTAGAAAGACATGTTAACATCTTGGCATCTTGCTGCTAAGATAGCAGGCGAGATGAGATCAATTTTGGGATGTTGGTAGAAATACGTAACCTCACATTTATTAAACTCCTCAGTGAGAGTGGAGTCATTATGCCTAATTCATGTGATACTTCTCTCGCATATGTAATGCCTCACTGTATTGTTTCATCCCGAGCAAGACCTTGAGGTTGTCTTTCGTACTAGATATGTTATGATTTAGCATATTTGTGTAGGAAGATCATATTTATGACCTTGGAATACTCTTTTGACATAACCTTATAATAGATTACTTCCTCAATATAAACGGTATGTTAATTACGAGTTGGCATTATTGAGGTGGATTCTCTGAAAGTAATCATAATAAAGCAAGACCGACCAATTTATTTCATGTATTTATTGAGGCATGTATAAAAGCTGATGGATATGGGGTGTGGGACTAAATACCTGAAGCTGTTGTCATCAAAAGAATCTCTTCTTGATTGTATATGTATGTACAGACCGCTGTGTAAACAAAGGGTATGTATTTTAAAATGTACAATTAATGTATTTAGCTATCATATAAAGTGTACAGTTCTTTTTTCCTAATAAAATATGAAGTTGTTAATTTCTTTCTTTAGCTAAAACTGGATATCATTGTTAGAGCTTATGAAATAATGCACACAATGAATTTTGGAATGTAAGCTTAAGTTGGTAGTAATTCTGATGTGAGTAAATATTTTATGTAAGTTACAAGTTGATAAATGAGACAGTTGTGCAATATTTCAGTATCTTTATTCTGGAAATGTTTTGCCAGCCAGTGGCTTCTTCAGTCCACTGTGGAGAAAGGTGGAGGGTGAGGAGAAAAAGTTTGAGGTAATCAGTCCCTTAGCCTGGAGTCAGTGTTTAGTTCATCAATCTTGATGGTCTAAACACAGTAATTGTGATGCTTACACATATGTACACAAGTGACTGCAAAGGTTACAGGTGATTCTTCCAGGGTAACCACCTGTTTGTGGCGGAGGATTAAAACCTCTGTATATCATGAGTGGCACTGGCTGGGTCTTCCCATGCTGTTGGTGCCATGATTTCAGAGACATTTCCCTAGAGGGCAGATCACTTTGTGTGACAGGTGGATTTGCCTTTGCTGATGCATTTAGCTGTACTGGCTGGGGTTTTCCATGACAAGAGTAGCTACAGCTGCAAAGATTCACTAAGCATGCTTCCCATATGTTTGCCATACATATTTACCTGTGTACCCCCTCATTTTCAGGCTTGTTTTTCAATCATAGGTCTGGCAACTCTTACAAATGCAACCTCTTCAAGGGGGGCTCCTTGGCGTGGTGAAGAGGCTCTTGGTCTGAGGAATTAGACCTGTCGGTCTACTTCCTCAGACCGAACCTAATTACCCCCCAATCCCCCGTTCCCTATCCCATCCTCCCCATCCTCCCCTTTACCTTTCCTCCTCCTCTTCCCCACCCCTCCCTTTTGCCCTTCCATTTTTTTTTTTTTTTTTCCCACAGGCACGCTAGTTCCTAGGTAGGGGAAAGGGTACCGGGGTCCATCCCATTCCGTTGAGGTTCTTGGCGGTGGCGTAGTTTGCCGTGGAATCTGGATTGCCTGGGGATGTCCTGATCCCTCTCCGGTATCCCGGAGGGTGGCTTTGGGTGTCTCTCGGGCGACGGGTGTATCTCTGGAAGCCACCTTTCGGATTCTGGGGGTGGTGGCCGAAGGAGGTATGCTTTGTGGCGGATTTCCGGCCGCCCTCTCTTTTGTCCACCGAGGTAGCTCGGCAGATGTGAGGTTGCTATCCCGGATTGCCGGTTTACTGGCATGATGGGTAGGGTATGGCACGGGTTCCATGCTGCATCTGCACTACTTGCGGTGCTGAGGTCCTCTTGGGCGCGGAGGGAGATTTCTGGCCCTTTCATTCCTCCTAGGAACTATCCCTCCCCGGTCCCCCCTTTTTTTATTCTTTTTTCTTATTTTTATTTTCTCTTTTCTTTTCTTAAAAACAAAAAGAAAGAAGTAACCTAACCATGGCAGCCCTAGTCCATGAACCTGCTACCCCCGGGCCCCTTCTTGATACCGCACCCCGTTCTGACCCTGCCTCGTCTTTGGACCACTCTTCGGACACTCCTCTTGCCGGTGCTGTTTCCTCACCCGCTTCAGGTACTGAGGCCTCGACTGACTCCTTCGATTTATCTGACCTTCGCTCTCCTCTGACTATGCTTCCAGCCTCTCCCTCTACGGTGCGGCAATTTTCGAATCGCCGGCCCGTTCCACGTCGGACCAACTCTGGTCCCACGCCTAAACGACAACGACAATTACCTGCTGATGATACTTCTCCACCTTCTCGTTCTTCTCAGAAAAGATCGACACGTCCTTCACTACCTTTCCACGCTCAGTTTCAGACTGCACAATGGACTAAATTCTTCACTTTACGACCGACTTCCTCTACTGCCTATCTTTCTGACCACAGTATTGGCAAGGCACTCCTACGCCATGTTGGTAAAGATATTTCTTTTCATACTCTTAAGAGCAGTACGCGCATCGTCACCGTACAGAATGCTACCCAGGCTCATGAGCTTTCTCGTCTTTCCCATATCAATACTGTTCCTGTAACTATTGAAAAGCATCATTCCCTCAATTCTTGTAGTGGTACCATCATTCTGCCCCATACCATAGTTCAACAAAATTTCCAGACATGTGGCACTGACATTCTTGAACAGCTGGAGCTCCAAGATCTCCCAATCCTCAAGGTAGACACTTACGTTCTTCCTGCCCGCGGGCGGAGACGATACCCTAGCAATGTGGCTCGTTTAACTTTTGACAGCCGTGAACTCCCATCCTCAGTTTATGTAGCAGGACATCGGTTACAAGTTCGAAAGGTGATCCCTACACCGCAACAGTGTAGAAATTGCTGGCGATTTGGCCATCCAGCAAAATATTGCAGATCTATCGCCGAATGCCCAGTCTGTGGTGCCGATGACCATTCTAATACATAAGAACATAAGAAAGGAGGAACACTGCAGGAGGCCTGCTGGCCCATACTAGGCAGGTCCTTTATAATTCATCCCACTAACAAAACATTTGCCCAACCTAATTTTCAATGCCACCCAAGAAATAAGCTCTGATGTGAAAGTCCCACTCAAATCCAACCCCTCCCACTCATGTACTTATCCAACCTAGATTTGAAACTACCCAAAGTCCCAGCCTCAATAACCCAACTAGGTAGACTGTTCCACTCATCAACTACCCTATTTCCAAGCCAATACTTTCCTATGTCCTTTCTAAATCTAAACTTATCTAATTTAAATCCATTACTGCGGGTTCTCTCTTGGAGAGACATCCTCAAGACCCTATTAATATCCCCTTTATTAATACCTATCTTCCACTTATACACTTCGATCAGGTCTCCCCTCATTCTTCGTCTAACAAGTGAATGTAACTTAAGAGTCTTCAATCTTTCTTCATAAGGAAGATTTCTAATGCTATGTATTAATTTAGTCATCCTACGCTGAATGTTTTCTAACGAATTTATGTCCATTTTGTAATACGGAGACCAGAACTGAGCTGCATAATCTAGGTGAGGCCTTACTAATGATGCATAAAGCTGCAGTATGACCTCTGGACTTCTGTTGCTTACACTTCTTGATATAAATCCCAGTAATCTATTTGCCTTATTACGTACGCTTAGGCATTGCTGTCTTGGTTTAAGGTTGCTGCTCACCATAACCCCCAAGTCCTTTTCGCAATCTGTATGGCTAAGTTCTACATCATTTAACTTATAAGTACTAGGGTTATGGGCACTCCCAAGCTTCAGAACCTTGCATTTATCTACATTGAACTGCATCTGCCACTTTTCTGACCAAGAATAGAGTTTGTTTAAATCCTCCTGAAGTTCCATAACATCTACGTTTGAATCAATTATCCTACCTATCTTTGTGTCATCGGCGAATTTGCTCATATCACTAGTAATTCCCTCATCAAGATCATTGATATATATTATAAACAACAACGGGCCCAAGACTGATCCCTGTGGAACGCCACTTGTTACAGATCCCCACTCGGATTTAACCCCATTTATGGACACTCTCTGCTTCCTGTCAGTGAGCCATGACTCGATCCACGAGAGCACTTTTCCCCCAATGCCATGAGCTGCCACTTTCTTTAACAGTCTATGGTGTGGAACTCTATCAAAAGCCTTACTAAAATCTAAGTAAATAATATCTTGCAATCGATCTCCCTCTTGCCTTAACTGTCATGAGGCTCACCCTTCGTACTCTCGCCGTTGTCAAGTCTATTTAAACGAGCGGGAAATCCGTTACCTCAAAGAGACAGAAGGTCTCCCTTATGCCATGGCAGTTTCTCATCTCCGCCTCCAAAGGAGACTCCCACGTGTTTCTTATTCCCGTGTTTCAAAACGTCCCCCCACTTCTGGTATCCCATCTTCTACACCCACCTCTGTGGTTACCTCTCCCATAGTCACTCCTGTATCTAATCCTTTTGCTGTCCTCGGCTCAGACGTCCCTACTTCAACGCCTCAGTCTGATCTCGCTTCTTCGAGTTCTCTCTCACAAGCCTCAGTATCGACGAGACCTCGTACGACACCTCCTCCCAATCGTCCCTCTACTTCTCAAAAGTCAAAAAAAGGTCCGTTAACACCTCCTACCCATCTTCCACCTCCTCTTTTTACCCTCCTTGTCTCTGTCCCTGGTTCTCCCCCTCTCACTGGCTCAGTTACAAGTGTAGAGGTTCACCCTCCTCCTCGTACTGTACCTTCCTCCCCTGTTCCCTCCCAAGTTTCTTCCTCTTCTGCCACCTCCCAGGTTCCTGCCTTTCTGTCCCTGCCACGCTTCTCCAGTTCCCTCCACCCTTTCGCCCCCCCCTACCTTGGTACAGTCCAATACAGTTCCAATCTTTACTCATCCTCCCCCTACCATTTCCAGTATTGTCTCCCATACGACGTCTCTGAATTCAGAAACACTTGAAGCAATCTCTGAATATATTGCAGAGACCAAACCATCAATGGACACTGATCCACCTTCCACTCTTTCTCTCTCCTCTGCTCCATCTGCTCAACTCCTTTCTTCACAGCGCACCATTCCTTCGCTGCTTGAACGTTTTCCACTGCCTCCGCATGTGGACTTTTCTAACCCCTCTAGTCCGTAGGAACCCTTACCTGCGGATTTCAAGTATCTTTATCATTGCCAATCATGGCCTATTTACAGTGGAATATACGCGGCCTCAAGGGTAATCGGGGTGAGCTTCAGATGTTACTCTCCCAGTTTGCCCCTGTTGGTGTTTGCTTACAGGAACCAAAATTACACTCTGCTGTTATTTCTCCCATCTCAGGCTATAATTTATTGTATTCTTCAGATCCTTTTCCTGATGGGACCTTTAATGAAAGTGCCCTTCTTCTACGCACTGATATTCCGTACCATCAGCTATTTGTTCATACTTCGCTGCATTACACAGCAGCCCGTATCCACTTACATAGGTGGTATACGCTCTGTTCTTTATATCTTTCTCCTTCTCGGGCATTATCTATTCCGGATATTGCCTTCCTTGTTTCGTCATTACCGCCACCGATTCTGTTACTTGGTGATTTTAATGCCCACCATT